AGATACGACGTGTATTTATTTTTCATGTGTATATTGTACTTAATATTGTTGCAAATTGAAAAATATAATTTATAATTGTCATATTCCGTTTCGGTTCTAAATCAATTAGTATTAATATTTTTTTATGTACCTATTGATGGCTTATATATAGTTACATATAAGTTAGGACTTTCCGACTTAGGTAGGACTGTACGAGGTACCTGCCGTAATGGTCTCTCGTTGTCTCGTTAGTCAATATTTTGGTCTTTGACAACATTAATTTGTAAATAACGTGATATAATAATTACTTCTTATAGGTACAAATTATAATGTCTTTATCTACAAAAAAAAATGGTGTGCCTACTAGCCTACTTTTTATTTTCTAATGAATAACTAAACTTGGTTAGGAACCTTACGAGTACGCCTTACGTACGTATAGTACATCTTAGATATGTAAGTACTGAATAGTATACTTAGGTACCTAATTGGCTTAATTTATCCGTCAATAATCCTCAATATTTATGTACCTACTTGGCTACTTACATTATCAGACTTATTAGTTATTGACTTATACTTGTAAACAATTTATTGGGAAATTTATTTAGGTATCTATAACTATTGAATATTAGTTACCTAATATTTAGAGTTAAAATAGTAGAATTTGTTTGAAAAGATTTTCAGGCCAGTAATCAGTGTAATACTTAAAAAAATTGTTATAGTGAACATTTAAAGTATCCAAGATCATTTGCGTGCAATTACAATTAAATGAAGAAAATCCATTTTGTATTTTTTAATAATTATAATAATAATAGTTTATTTAATGTCCCGAAGACATATAGTAGGTAGGTACAATGTAAATAAATTAGCTAATAAAATAATAGACCAATACTTAAATGCTAGTACAAAATACAACAATAAACAATGAAATCGATATAATGATTAAACTCTTAAATTGTTACATTTTTTCGATAGATTTTCATAACGCTTATGTGGAAAGGCCAAAGCATCGAAGCTATGAATCGTTTTTTATGAGGCATAATATTATAGTCACACGTGAAAGATTATGTAAGCATATCACTTATCAACTAAAATGCTGGTAATCGATATTCCTTATTAGAAAAACACAGTCTTTAGTAGCAGTAGAGTCCTCAACAAACGTTTTGACCTTTAAACTTCTAGGCCCTAGCATTGATTTTATATTAGAATTATATTATAAAATCAATGCTTCTACCAAGCATCTACTGGATATTTTCTCTCCGTATACTACTTATTATTTTCACAATGACCTTCAAGCTGGAGGGTCACTGCAGAGGCGAAAATAGGCAAAATTCTTAGGGATTGATCTTCAGTCTCTTTATATTTTTTAAGGTATAATATAAGTTATAACCAGAGTATAGATCGTGTATTGTTATTTGTTTGAGTGAGCTTGTTTGTATTTTTAGTATTAAGCGTTTCCTTTAAATAAAGAGCGTAGGTAGGTGTATCTAAAATAAAAACGTGTATTACCGAAAACGCCTGTTCCTTACATTCGGACCTAATACTTTTTATATTATTCAAAAATATGTTTAATGGTAATTTAATTTCACATTAAATTATAAAAGATAAAAAAATTATAATTGTATAGGTATAATATTACTTATGGACTTTAGTCGAAACCGGAAATAAAGATAGATATTGTTTTCAACTTTTATAGATTGGCTTTAACTATTGCACAAACTTACTGAACTATGATCTAGAATGTGCCAAATGATTTAAAGTGTGTACCTACCTACCTACTTCCTAGTATTTATGGAAATGGAATATTTAATTTTTTCATACTCAAATTATGTCTGTGACGTAGGTAGGTACATGTTATTCACATTCATAGACAATTAATCATTACTCAAAAGGCTTTGAATTAATATTATATTATCTTAATTATTTACATTTTACATTTCAAGCTATAAAATATTATAACTAAATATATTAGTGATAAACTGATTACTGGTAAGCATCAATAAAATAAAATCTATTTAAGCTAGGTATGTTTTAACTTTTAACTGAACAAATAGACTAATAATTGTATACAATGTAGAATAACTAGAAATTTGAAATTACAATATAATATTATGTTTGACATAATATTAAAAATAAATGGAATAAATAAAATTATTTTTACAAGATACATTATTCATAAACACTGCTAATACCATAAATAAGTAGGTACCTAAAGGCTAAAGTACAAAAATATCCGTTGGGTTTTAATACTTTTACTTTTGTATATGATGTTAATAATATTAGTAATATAAACTGTTAGGTAGGTATTTATCTATAAATCTATAAAATATAACAACATTTAAGGATACAATTATTACCTATAACAATTTTAAATATAATATTGTAAATAACAATTTCAAGATGAATAGTAGTTTATTTGTACAAATACCAATTTTTTAAAAATGTTTCAGCAATAAGTGTAATTTATAAAAATATTTATAATTGACCAAATACATTTTTAAAAATATATCATATTAGTATTTAAGGTTGTGACAACCAACAATCACAGTTTTAGTTCTAGTTTAATAGAAATAATTTAATATGCATGGATATATTTTGTATCCATTCCTAAGTATAATTTTATAGTAAAAATATAAAACAAAGCAATCTTACTGATTCAAATAAAAGAAACGAAACTATTCTGAGCAGAAGAGTGGTTAAAATCAATACTTCTTAATACTTCTTCCTTGTGTATAGACAATTTAAAATATAATATGTATTTTTTTTAAATGAAAGATGTTAGGTAGTGGTTCATGATTTAATTAATAAATATAATAATTACATAACATACCTAATGTGTGTATAAATTGTATTAATATACTTTTAATTGTGAAGTAAAAATAATGTGATTTCGATATTATTTAATAAGTATAACTAGGAGAAGTTTTTTTATTTTATTCTAACATTTAATTTTAATTATGGTAGTAATAATTTTGTTTGGAACCTCAAATTTGCTAATATTTTAATAAATTTCTACCTTCGAACAATTGATTTCAATTGATTCAAATAATTTACTTTATACCAATATTATAAGCCTTGTACCACCATCCAAATATAATTATTAAGACCTCTTACATAGTTGTACAATCTCCATTTATAACAATTATTTAATTTTGAAATGTATACATGATGTATTATATAACATATTTAAACGCAATAACTGTCATACACAAAGAATTTTTAAGTGGCAGTCAATGGATAGTGAGGCCTTTAAGGAGTATTGTAAATATAAGCATCGAGCTTGTACCTATCCAACAATAGACATTAGACAATAAAAGTAAAAACAAAATAAACTTAATAAAAACACAACTTCTAGTTACATATTACACTTGACAACTTAGTAGTCTACCTACAGTAGATAAAAAAAATATATTAATAAGAAATTAAAGACAAAATACAATAAAGATAAAACACAAAAAGTAACTATTAACCTGAATTGGAATGTTACAATTTCATTAAAACTTTTATTAGTAATAGATTTATATGTATTTATAATTACATTCTTTTGTTAAATTCCAGAGCTGAAATAAATTGATTAGTGGCGATTACTAAGTAACGAATATGTTGAGTAGTGGTAAGGGTATGATTGTGCAATTCTGTATGATCTGAAAGCTCAGGCTAAACACATTTTCAAATTTCCACACTTAATAATAATTTGTATAATGTGTATAATGAATACATCCTATCATTTAATACCTATTTTACACGTGAATAAATAACTTATAATAATAAATACATAACAAAACTGAAATGTGAAAACTGGAATAATATTTTTAGCAAGCCTAAACCCTACCGTTTGAAAACAATGTTTAAAAGGATTAAAATGGATTATGTTTAAGGTGTGTACTATAAATGCAAAATGAATCGGCTGAACATACCTATTAATAAATTTGTATATTCCAAAACGAATTATGAGATATTTTTCTGTCTTCTAACAAGAAAATTTTAATTCATCATTTTACATGTACATTACAATATCTAAAACAACAATTGATCACAGATAAAATACTACATTTTTGTGTTTTTATATTTTATCCAGTTCAATTAAGTTTTTACTATTAATACAGCAATAAAGAAAGTGTAATATGTATTATGTTATTATAATGTGTCATACCGTGTTTGTCCCAAGTCGATAACTTTTATTCTATTTAACATCATAAGTTAATTTTTAAGGTTTAGGCCGGAAATGTGTAGAGTAATTACATATTATAATATATTATGCATATATATATATAAAGAACAGGAATATACAAAGACAAACACAGTAATGTACCCAAAGTATTCATAATGTTGTTAACTAAAGATCCAATTGGAACTAGTATTCACTTTGGTTTTATTGACTAAATGAAAATAAATTCGTTTTGGAAAATATTACAATGTTATAGAGAGTTAACTTTTTATTGTAAAATGTAATTAATTTATGATATTTTACTGGTGATCACAATCATTTAAATTATATAAAAACAAAATAATTAAATACACAGAAGTAATAATAATGATAAAAAAAAAACAATTTTCAAAGATTGGTTAGACCATATTATGTATAAAGGACAGTGTGTCTTAAAAAATAATTATAAATATCCATATAGGTAGTATATATTATATAAATATAGTACATAGATATATATCATATAATGTATAAACATTTAACATTCAACATAATATCTACCTTAAATATCATCCACACATATTAATATCATCATTACCATTTTTTCTAAATAATAATAATAATGTAAGTACTAAAAAAAATTAAATTTTACCAATTTAGTTAGTTTTTGGTTCTATTTTTTTTTTTTTTTTTTTTATTATTATTATTGAAATGTCAACTAAAATAACTGTATACTCTAAACACTTTATTATGAGAAATAATACAATACAGTTATAATTACATCTCTCAAAAATAATTAAGGTTTAAGTGTATAAATTAAACATTCAATATTGGTAGAACTTATATTAGGTATGGGCAGTAAGGAAAAATAATATTCTCACTGATTTCTTGCTTCATCTATAGTGTTTTTCATATACATCAGACATTGGTCAATGACTGTTTGAGCTAGACTATGTATAACCCCAGGCTGATTATTTTGAAGTTGACTGTGTTCTTCGAGTAGTTCACTCATGATTCTTAAACCACCCTCAGCTATAACAATCGAACAGTACTTCTCGGCTAAAAAAAAAAAAAAAAATTGAATATTTAACTTGTTACAAATCATAATATTCAGTTGTAATATATAATTTAAAATGTATGGTAAATTAATAAAAAAAATGAAACTGCATAAAATTTTCATTCAATTAACAAATAATAATGGAATGTAATTTAAGTTCTTTTAAAAATACTTAAACAATTTAATTTAACTATAATATACTTACGGTAAACTTTAGTGAGGTTTGCTAAAGCCCATGCTGCCCAATGAGCACATTGAGGTGTGTGCTTAACTTGTGCAAGCTGTAAAATTGGCTCAAAGGAACGATAGTTAATATTTCGATCAGCGTCCAAGTTCCATTTTTTTATGGCTTTAGTCATACGATCTAATACTTTATTTCTTGTTGGGTTTTTTATAATCCACGATCTTTGACCATCTGATGCCAAGTGGGCAATTACCCCAGCAGCATTGTAACTAACCTGTATGAAAAGAGTTTTATCATTCTGTTAAGTAAGTAAATATTTGTATGGCTACCTCAATTCCGTCCTGAGTAGAATATAAAAGGTCAGAAAACACTTTGATAAAATGTCCTTGCATAAGTCTACATCGTAGCTCACTCACTTCAGCAACATTGCCCAATAAACCCATCATATTCCGCATCAGTTCATTTTTATCCGGAAAAGTCTATAAGCACATAACATTTAATAGTTACAGTACGTTATTCTTTTTACTATAATACCTACTGATAAGCATCCAATGAAGTATTTCATTCCATTTCCATCTAGAAACCTTTTACAATTTTTTGGTGCTTCATCTGTTACGTTCCACATTGTTGACCAAGCAACTTCAAGAACATCATCGCAAACTCTTCGATGAAGCCTATCTTTGATTATTGCCATCATTTTCTGTGCAAAAATATTTTTAAATTATTAACATAATAATATTATATTAAAAATTTATTTTTAATTACCTTAATTGCGCCAGCATCTCCAAGTTCATTTTTTTGTTTATTGTTCACCTGGCATGCAACTGAGTTTAGTAAATAAATACCAATTCTTTGTACAAACCCTTCATGGTCACTAGTAGATACAATGTGTAGTAACATTTGTACTAAACGTTTAAACTCGAACATCTAAAAATGAATTTATAATTTTATAACTTATTATGAATTGACCAATGATAAAATATTATTTTTAAATTTGTTTTATTTATAGAGATATCTACTAAAAGCAATTACAGCTGAAGAACACAATAATGATTGTTAAAATGTTAGTATATAATTTTATATTTTATTTTTTATGTTAACAAAAGTTTCTTTATTTCTTTATTCAATTATTATTCTTGGTTTTTATAAATATTTAATCATTAAAATTAAAATTAAAACAGGTATTCTAATCGTTACAAATTTAAAAAAATTGTATGGAAAAGCAGTTATTGGCAGGAACAAACAGAGTAATGTATGACTGTATTTAACACGGCCATTAAAAGTTGGGAACGTCCAGAGTTGAGAATTAAAGTTCTAAATATAATGAATTTCAACAAGGAAGACAGGCGCATTGAGCATTTATTACATAATATATAAACTATTAGTTTTTTAACTTAAAACGACAAACACAATTCAATTTATTCTTTGTGTAATGTCAATTTCATCTGGCTTCTGTTAAGAAGTACTTATAATTATAATAAAGCTAAAACCTTAGGTAGTTTTAATAGACTAGCATAAGAGCTTTTCACTCTAAAAGTTAAAAATTAATTAAAAATTAAACAACAGGTTGTAAGACCACATAGAAGTGATTGATGTTCACTCAAGTTGACTATTGATAATAAAATGATGAAATTTTTTGTCTAGTTATCACTATTAGTAATAATAACAATAAATCATTAATACATCACTATTTAATAATATAAGAGTTTTTGGACTTCAGAATCTTAAATGAAATCAACTAAACTGTTTAAATGAATTTATTAGTTTTAAGTCACAACCAGGGCTTAAAACCAGTAACTGGTCCCGACAAAAATAACCAAAGATTTTTAGTATCTGTATTTATTATTTGAAATATATATATTTAAGAATAAATGAATTTATTAAAAAAAAAAAATGTTAAATTATCGCCAAAACAATTTTTAGTAAACTGTTTGCTCTTGGTTGGTACCTCCGCGATAATGCGTTTTATACTTAGAGATATTTAAGATAATATTATATTTTATGGAGCATATTTATAGAATTTTAAGTTCTATAAAATCCCAACAATGGTAATAAATATACTGACTCAAGTAGATGAAATAAACAGTTACATGAAAAATTATAATTTTCTAAAACTGTTGACCGATTCCCGAAAAAACTAAATAACGGTTAGCGGTAATCCATTATCCATTGTGTTTAAAATATATTTTTGAAGATGATATCCATGTAAAGCGAAAACCGCCTACCTATTACCTTTTTTTTTTTTTAAATGGTTTTAAGCCCGGGTTATAAGTTCTAATCCATAATCTCAATAGTAGCATTATTATATTATAATATAATAATAATAATTTATTTAAGGAAAATAATTTCCAATTTCAAAATAATAAATTGACAATGTAAAGTGGCAGTTTAAATGTACATGATTAGAGAAATAATCTATTAATACAAAATATAAAATTACGTTAAACATTAGGCTATCATATAAACAGAAAAGATAAGAAAAAAAATAAGAATACAAGAGATTAAAACGTTGAGTTATTGATTATAATTATGTTAGACAAAGTAAACTTAATTCTAAATAATAAACTTAATACATAATTAAATAAGTAAGATACCTACTTAATAATAACTGGATAAAGTATTTGACAAATTAAGTAAAGTAGTGTTAAATACATCTATATTAATAATTGAATTCTCAACGGTCATAAGAACATTTGCCGGGGTGTATAACATATATTTTTTATTGATTGATGGAATATAAAATAAGGATTTATTGCTTGAACATGGTTGGCTTATTCTAAAATTCAAACGCTCTAGAAGTTCAGGACAGTTGATAATATTGTGTAATCGTTTATAAAGAAATTTACAGTTTAACAAATGTATTCTTTTATCCAAAGGCATTATCCTAAAAAGACTACAGGAGATGGCATATCATGACTTTTTCTAAATAGCATTTATACAATAAAATTATTTGGACAGAGGGATATGCTTTGATTTTGTGTGATGTAATCAGTGTGCCAAATTAATGAAGCATAGTCAAAATGAGAACTTACTAGCGAGAATTATAAAGTTATAAGTGTTGACTCGTCTTTAAAATCTCTACACATGCGCTTTAAAAAATCCCAATTTCATAAATGCTTTATTCCTAATATAATCAATATGATGATTGAATGAGAGTTTTGAATCAAATAAAACACCCAAGTCTTTAATTATATTTATAAGTGACATACTTAGATCATTTAACTTATAATCGAAGATTAAGACATTTTTTTTTAAGAAAAAGGGATAACGGCACATTTGTCTTTATTAAGTGACATATCATTATCATTACACCAATGATGTAAATTGATTAAATCCTCTTGAAATCTAATCGCATCATTAAAACATTCAATTTTTTTTATAAATTTTAGTATTATTTGCAAATAAAAGGCATTATGAATTTTTTATATTTTTTTGAATATCATTAACACGTTCACTGCGTATCATATTTTTGTATACTTGTCGTGACGCTGATAAGATTCTAGTTTTAAAAAAAAATTTCCTAAAAATTGAAAAATTTAAATATCAGTGTACAGTTTGCACTTGATTATGAAACAATGCTTATAGAAGACGCTGACAAAAAACCAAAAGTTTAATCGTAACGCTGACCAAATTATAGTCCATTAAATAACAAGATACATGACGCCAATTGGCGTCATTCAGCACATGCAAACTATGTACAATGACACCAATTGGCGTCTTACGCAGCAAACGTGTTAATGAAAATAGAAGAAAATAGCAGTGATAAGTGGTCACTTTGGGGGACACCAGATGATAAGTTTATTTGATTAGAAATATGATTTTCATATTTTACTATTTGCACTTGGTTAGTTAGGAAGATTCAAGCTATGAAAGTAACGGGTTGTTAGAACCAAATGATTTGAGTTTGTTTAATAAAAGAGAATGATTGACTCTATCAAACACTTTTTCAAAGTCTGTATAAATTATCGACTTGGGCTTGTATATTAATTGATTATAAGATAAATCGTTTCAAAATTCCTAAGTTAGTTATGATGATCGCCCTGGATGAAAGCCATGTAGTTTGTTTGAAATCAAGCGTAAGGGAAATAACTGGTTGTTAACCACTTTAGAAATATCTTTGGAAATATTGAAATTTTAGAAATTGGCTTGTAGTTTTTATAACTTATGATAGTAGAATATACTGTTGTTTTATACGGTTATATTCATCCAAGACCACATTTATAGTTTAGATAATGTATTTGTATACAGTATTTTAAATAAATATAGTGCACAAATATTAATTTTTAATTATATATAAATAAGAAAAAATAAAAAATAAATACAAAACATTATTATTTATATTACTTTTTTTTTGTATTTTGACAAAATATTAAGTAAAACGAAATCTGAGTAATTTAAAATTGATAAAATAAATTAGTTTTTAATGGTACAACTTGTCCCATGAGGTGAAATATGTGCGGTATATTAAAAAGTCAATAGAATGTAAAGAAATTGTAAAGATGTTGTACCAGAGCCAAATGGTTGTTTTAAATAACATTAAATCCCAATTATTGCAAATTCATAAACAACACAAATAAATTCTATCATTACAAACATCCACATAATATTAACAACATATATTAAAAATTAAACAACAATTTATAACTTTGTATAGTATTAAATCCAAATACAAACAATATGAGTATTATGTTGATTTGATGTTAACATCCTCCCCCTATGCATGTCACTAATTTTTTAGGCATATTTATAAAACTAAATCAACATATTTACTCATTTTGTTTCTAAGTTGAAGATTAGAAATAATAATAAAAAAAAAAAATCAAATTTTGGTGTCTGAGACATAGTTCCAAATTGTAACATATTATGTACTATGTCTCAAATCAAACCTGTTAGTTATATTTAGTAAGCAATAACATTTGTAAGGAGTCACTTTTTATTCAAAATATAAATTAACTATATTTTTTATTTACTTCAAAACTATGGTTAAATATTTATGATTATCACTTATCAGTTAGCAACCGTTTTTTTCATAATACATAACAGTATTAATAGTAATACATAGATCTTTTTAAAAACAAATGTATGAAAAGGTAACTAAAAAGATAGACATTTCGAAATATAGTTTAGAATTGAGAAAATAAATAATGTACTACTCGAATGTGTATATAATGAACAGAAAGGGTTATCAATTTGAATACATGCCAATATGAGTAATCATATATTTCTTTTAGTTTCTAAATCAAAATAAAAATTCAAGGTTAGGTTATCTTTAAGTAATAATATTATATTATACCATATTTATTATTATTATTGCTAAGATGTTAATACTTCCTAAACCTAAGAAACTAATGTTTGTATGCAATTACAATTATAGATACAAAATATTATACTTCAATTATTAATTGTTAAACTTACATAATATATTATAATTTATATGAGAAATTATATTTAAGTTTGTTTCCTTGAATTAAATTCAGACTTTGATTTTATACGTACATATTTCAATAATCTAAGTTTATGAATAAAATAAATTTTACAAAATCATTATCTAGGGTGAAAAAAAGATACAGCTTATCTAACATTTCAACAAAATTTCATGAAAATTGGTACCTAAATATATAATAAAAAACGTTGAAGAGCTAACAGTAACAACAAATTGTTGAATAAAAATACATTGCTCTAATTATCTAAAGTAATTCAAAAAACTTCCTGGTCCTAATTATAATATACAGTATGCACATTTAAATTTTCTCAAACTTGTTGCAATGTTTAATAATCTTTTCATAATTTAATGTACTACATTAAGGTTGATACTTATTTAATTTTATTCAAGTTAAAAAATAATTCAATGAAGCAATTCAAATCTTCTATTATTAGTAGTAGACTTTAGTAGATTAAAAGTAGAACGCTCAATACTTCTAAAAAAAGGAAATTTTTTTTATAATTATGGAAAAAAGAGGAATCTTTTTGTTACCTATGTACTAGTTTCTTACAAAATCGATTTCTTTTAAATAATTTGGTTTTATTAAGCTATTTAACGGCATATTAAACTTAATCTTGTCTTTTATTTTGGGATTTTTATTGATGCCATCTTTCAAAAATCTTAAAAAGTACAAGGTTGAGACCAAGCTGTTTATACAGTAATTAATTAACACAACAATACGCCTCAATTTTTATTTTAAGTGTTTGAAGTTATGTAGTTCAATACAATGTATTACTAATTTAATACTAAAAGAAAAATACACAACTAATAGTGGTGTAAATAACTTATTTTTTGTATGTTTTGATTTTTCATTGAATTTGTATTGAACACTTTCATTAGTGACCTAGTCAATGAAGAGGTATAGTCAAAACCTACTATATAACAGAGTGACTCCCTCAGTTTTTAATATTTAGTTTTAATAGAGTTTGAATTTACCACATCTTGAGGTATTCTTAACTGACACAAAGTCAAACATCCATTCCGCATCATTGTTTCATCATAGTTGTGATAGTCCATTCCAGTTAATAGTGTTGTGATAATACGTCGTTTTACTGTTATATCATTTAATAGTAATGGCCGATCTTTATTTTTCACAATATAGAAAAGTGTTGCACTAAAAAGTTATTACATAATTAAAATTTACTCTTTTCAAAGTGTAAATTAGTGAATACTAACCTCCCAGAAATTTGAATGAGTTTCTCTTTTACATATCTAGTAAGAGCTTCCAATACTATGTCAAGAGCTTGATCAATTTGTGTACACTGGTCATACCTCAATAAGTGGTAAAGATCGTTTAAAATGTTTTGAAGTAATTTTGGTTTGTCCATACACGAAGCAGCAGCATTGAAGATCTGTTCTTCGTTAGCATCACCACTGATCTATGATAAGAAACATCAATAATTAATATTCACAAGTTATTTGATAACAATTTAATGAATTTATTTATTTTATATGTATTACAATTTTTGCAGGAATATCGTGCCGCCTGCAAGCATTGTGCTGAGTATGATATAAACCTAAAAATTCCAAAGGATTGTCTACTCGATACTCTAAACCAGGAATGTCCGACTTCCTGCCACTCAGTGATTCACACATAGACTGTTCTGCAGTGCCTATAATGATGATACATACATGATAGATACATAGAATCAAAAACAGTAAATACTCAACTTACCTTTTCCAGCCAAATTTGTACCGGATATATCCAAAGACATAAGATTTGGTAGACAGGTCACAATTAGTGCTAAAATTTTATTTTCATCTTTGTAAATACCTTGTTCTGGGAAAGTCTCAGTTTGCGATATATCTAAAACACTAGAAACACAATTTAATATTTGTTAATATAAGGAAAACTACTTTTTTATTTTATCAAAATATAAAAGATACTCACACCAGAGATTTCAGGGAACAAATATTGATTATTGCGTCATTGTTTTGCAGATGGGGCACATCGAAAAGTATCAATGTATGTAAGCTGGTGAGTTTACACAAGTAACGCAGACTGCCAACACCTAAGCAATAAGAGAGGTCCAAGAACCTCAGCTGTATGAGCTTATCAAGCATGACACCCAGAAATATGTTGTCACTAGTGAATGGTGATTCTGCAATTGCTCGCAACACAAAATGTCTAAGATTGGGTGCCTTCTTGTAGATTCTTGAGGGGAGATCATCTAGAGATAGTGAAGAGTTTGACAGCTTGTTGTAAGGAGTTATTTGTACATTTGGACCAATGGTCAACGAACGAAGGTTGACGGCATGTTTGAATATATTTATATAAGTTTTGTGAGTGAGATTCTGACAGTTTGTAAGTGTGAGTTCATATAGGTCGTGGCACAGCAGGTACTCAAGACCTTCGTCAGTAATACTTGAGTTACTTATGTGTACCGATCTCAAGTTGGTTTTGGTAACGTCTACGAATAGATGTGCAAAACGGTCGAAAATCTCGCCACCGTTGCTCTGATAAACCTCGATGAATGGTTCACATATCTCGCTTGGCAAAGCCAATCCATCGTGCAGAGTATAACCATCAAGAGTCTCCGTACACAGAGTGTCCAAGTTTCGCGCCACATACTTCAGACACAGGCAGAACAGTGATTCTGGGACCCGTTCCTCTTTGTGTCTGAACTTGATCGGAATTCGTTGGCGATCGGTTTGGTACATAGTATTGAGAACGATCAAATTGTTCGCAACTTAAGTAAGTCGGTCGGCACCATTGAAGAACAATAACGAGAAGTCGTAGGACATGGTTAAAATACAATAAAATTGAGAACAGAAAAAATAAGTTCTTCACTACCGTCGGATAATTAATGGAATGTATTGTCGTATCGAGTTAATCAAACCTTTTGAGTAGAGATTTGAAACGGTGGACAGTGCGGCGGACTCCGAATTCCGAATTCCGAATGTTGCTTCACTGGTGTTTTGCAAAACTATTGTCGATTATTGTTTATTAAGAACAGTCAAAATTCGCGTCTGCATTATTGATGTTACTATTTTGGTCGGGTAGAAAGGAAAATATTGCTATTGCAAAACAACACTAACGACTAACGAGAATTATTGGTATACCTTTCCTAGTTTTTTTTCTTTATTAATAAAACGCGAACGTTCGCGAACAATAACAATTTATCAGCTGTCCACGTTATCACGGTGGCCATCAGTGATGCCGGTAAAGCGACGTGAAATGTCTCTCTCGAAACACCGTGGTCCAAGAGAGACGCAGAACGCGTATGCGGCGCGATAGAGAGAGACAGTGAGAGCAGTTGTCCTTTGTCGCATTTATCTTTCGCGTGTAAACTGTAAAGTGATAAGTTTGAATTCTTCAATTAAAAGCCGTTGGAAGTCTTACATAATAATTATATAATAATACTTATCTATGGTTACATAGTCTGAAGGTGTCCGAAAGTGTATACGCGTCGTCACGTCACGTTACTGTCCTTGGCCCACATCGACACTTCGTGTTTACAGTGCATTCCCAAAGGTCGACCGTTTAATAATAGCTCGTCGAAAAACCCTTTCACCTTCGCGTATGGGAACGGTAATAACGCTTAATTTAAACGTCTGAATGTGTTTAGACTTCAGTTTACTTACTCGCGACACTTTACCTACTTTGACAAAGGTGTCGATCTCAATATTACTATCGCCATTAGATCAGTAACCACTGTTGTAGAGATTATATAATATTGAATTTATTGTATTCCTAAACTACCGAATAAAGGCATAAATCGTGCTATTTACACTGGTATGTTATAACTTTTATGTAGATTTTCAAGGTTAACGATATAAATAGAACATGTTGATCGAGCTAATAAATGGAATATGATCAAGTACCACGAACTAATTACTCCATGTAATATACTAAGATCGTGTAAATGCCTACTGATGTTTTCGTTGTTTCCCTTTGTTTGATTTGATAACAGTCAACTAAGATGATAAAATATGCACTAGCATTTAAAAATTTAAAAACCGTGAAAGTTGACAAAAGCGATTTTTGATTCTTTGCGTAGCGACGAATGTATTGATTTCAAAATGTGTGTTTCTTTAAAAAATTTTAAAATTTTTGTATCTGTCACTCGTTTGGGGCGGTAAAACTGATTTTCCTGAACGGTAATCGGAAAAAAAATCCCTAGCTACAATATTACTCACAATCACATGCAAATGGTTGAACAAATATATTTTGAACGTTAATTAGTATCTATAATTAATATTTAATGACAAATACGTATATTCAAGGCCGGATTAAGGGGGGGTCTAGCCGGGGCGGAAGCCCCGGGGCCCTTTCAAGTACCAACATGAAAGGGGCCCAAACAATTTTAAGCTGATACACATTTTTCAGTGATTTTACAGAATAGTTTTTCTATATTTTAAAAACCATTTTTTTTATCGACAAAAACAACTAAATAGTAAATACCTTTTTGTAGGAAAGGCGCATTTTATTGTTATTTAATAACTGTTAGTTAATATTTGTTGTAAATAAGTATAATGTTAATAAATTTAAAAGTTGGTATGTAAATTTGAATTTAAATTAATGAAATATGAAGTATTAACTCTGTGGAATGATGACAGAAGCTGATATGTACATTTTGTTAATTTTTCAATTATATCATTTAAATAGTTTAGAAATCGTATATTTCATTTTTTAAAAAAATTTTTCTTCTATCATACTTAATAATATGATATGTCTCTATTATGTGTGTGGTGCCATTTATATTCAAAGACCAAAACTGATAAGTCATTAGGTATTTGAAAATATATGTAGCGGCAAAACTAAGTTTGTAAAATGTACATATCAGCTTCTGCCATCTTTACTTTTATTATATTACAATTAGTGAATAGTGGTTGTATACTTTATAGACATATAAATTACATATACTTACCTATTAATTTTATAATTTTATAATGCAATTGCCATTTGTGAAATAGTTAGAAAAATGTATCTTCCTGCGGGCGTAGCCAGTTTGTTTTAAAGCGTGCCTTGTCAAAAGGGCCCATATGAAATTTCAAGCCCGGGGCCCAATAGGTTCTTAATCCGGCCTTGCGTATATTATATTCTATTATAATATAATGTATTATATTATATTGTTAAAAAAATTATAAAAATATTTAGAATGATCGATACATCAATTAATAATACAGTTAAAAACACAGTATACAAAAATATTATACAAAATATAGGTACCTATATATTATTTTATGTTGGTATAATTCTGTAAAAATACTAAAAATTGAATCCCCGAAATAAAATATTGCGTTTTCTGTGACATTTTGACGATAAGCGGTTTAGTATGTACCTTTGAGTTTTGACAATATAATATAATATAAGGTAAAAGGTTACACCTACCTATCTTAATTATTATCTTATTTATTTTTATTACCTATATTTTGTATAATATTTTTGTATACTATGTGTTTAACTGTATTATTTGCCGTATCGATCATTCAAAATATTTTTATATTCTACACCTATTTGTAACATTGTTAAGTTAGTTATTTAATTTGAATTACACATAATATATTATCGTGATTTAAAACAAAATATTATTTATAATATATAATTTTTTTAACAATATAATAGAATATAATATACGTATTTGTAATTAAATATTAATTATAGATACTAATTGACGTTTAAAAAATATTTGTTCAACCATTTGCATGAGGTTGTGAGTAATATTGTAGTCTGGGGATTTTTTTCCTAGGCTCGGGGATTTTTTTCGGGATTCAAAACTGATTTTCCTCAACAGTATCTTGTTCGATGGGAAAGTGAATCTAGTTGATGCATTTGGGAGGTCAAAATAGAATATTCCCAATAGTTTTCAAAAGTGCTGAGAAAAACAACATAAAAATTAAGGAAAAACGGGAATTTTTACGCAAAATTGGTTTTAGACCACGTCGATTTTGGTTTTTGGTGTAACTCTAAAACCAATGACTGTAGATGCATGAAATTTTGACTGAATGTTTATATTGGCATTTTTTATACACCATAAAATTTAATATTTCAACTACAAAATAATTGTCAAAGTTTGTTATTTTAAAAGCTACCTTATGACGATAAAATTATATTATAATAATAAAATTGCATTAAATTATTTGTATAAAATTTATAATTTTATAAAGAGTGTATTATATAATATTAAACATAATTTCTTTAACTTAGTTATTATTTATAAAATGGGTAGAAAAACATAGGATTCTAAATTATATAAATCACGATTCTGTTTAAAACTTAGGTAACACTCCCAACACAGGCTGAGATTTTTGTACTCAGCTATTACAATATTATATCTTAATACATAATATTATATATGTATGTATTTTTGTGGTACAAATAAAGTCATAATATTATAAAGTATAAACAATAATTATTGTCAGTCAAATAGACAATTTACCATAGACATATTAATAAATTTAGTTAATATAAATTAATAAATTTATTAATATGTCTATGCAATTTACTCATGTCGTAGTACCTCCCCTGGGTCATGGGAGGCCTCTGGTATACGGAAAAAAAAACCAAAGTGATAATATAAATTATAATCAAAATTTTTCAAAATAGGTAGGCATATAGCAAGAACACGGACTAAGATACTATAATATTATATTATATTTATTAATCCGTGAACACGAATTAATAAATATGCGCTTATGATAACAAATATCAAATACAGGTTAAAATTATATCCAGTCATAATACCATTGCTATTGATTATATTACTAATTTTTACAATTTTATATTTTTATTACTATTATAATCTGTAACCAACGGCAACTATTTATAAAGGAAAATAATTTTGATTTCAGTCATAAATATTAAAATCCCTATGTTACTGTGTGAGAGCACCTATTTCAAAATTTGAATTTCAGAAAATCCTTTATTAGTACGAAGGTACTCTCAAAATGTCAAGTCTCTATAACAGCTGGCTAGTTATCATACTTTAGGCTGCGTGTTGACGAGTCAGTCAGAAGTTCAGGACGTTCGATTGCATAATAATAGGTAAGTATATAGATTTCTTTAATTGTGGCATGTCAGTCTAAAACCTTTTGAAATTTGAATAAAAACCATAGAGTATATAGAGGAGCCCTAATTGAAATAATATGAAGCGGAAATGGAAACAAAACAGTGTAGGCAAACTATAGAAAATATTTTATTGTATATGAACTATAATACAATATTTATTGTAATTTAATTATATTACTCATTATTATTACTCAATTATATCATATTGTTCTATGGTTATATTAACCTTTATTTATAACTATCAATATAATATTAATTATTATAATATTACTGAACTGAACTTGATTTGCACAAATACGTAAATACTATTATTATATGTTATGGGAGGGTAGTAACTTTTTGGTGAGGAAATTATCAGCACTATCAATACTTAAATTATTGTAACACACCAGCATCTTAGGTTTGTTCTTAAAATAGTTTCTGAGTAGAAAGTATTATAACATATTCAAAATATTACACTGGTGGGATTTACGAAAAGTTGAAAATTAGCGCTATCTATCAGTTGCGTTGTTAGTTATTGGAAACCAAATCCGACATGTTTTGCTTCACTTAATTCATAATACTTATTCTGATAGGGCATAACTGATAGATAGCGCTAATTTTCAACTTTTCGTAAATCCCACCAGTGTAATATTTTGAATATGTTATAATACTTTCTACTCAGAAACTATTTTAAGAACAAACCTAAGATGCTGGTGTGTTACAATAATTTAAGTATTGATAGTGCTGATAATTTCCTCACCAAAAAGTTACTACCCTCCCATAACATATAATAATAGTATTTACGTATTTGTGCAAATCAAGTTCAGTTCAGTAATATTATAATAATTAATATTATATTGAGAGTTATAAATAAAGGTTAATATAACCATAGAACAATATGATATAATTGAGTAATAATAATGAGTAATATAATTAAATTACAATAAATATTGTATTATAGTTCATATACAATAAAATATTTTCTATAGTTTGCCTACACTGTTTTGTTTCCATTTCCGCTTCATATTATTTCAATTAGGGCTCCTCTATAATCTATATACTATATGATAAATGTGTGAGGAATTCCATAACCGTGGTTCTAATATCATTCCTACCACGATATGTATTTTTAACCACGGTAGATACAACTATGCAAATAGGTACCTATTTTAGTAACATCCCTGTCAATTTTGTTTGCAGTCATTAATCATTATACAAATATTACAAATGTACCCATTACCAAATACTGTAAACCATAATACAGCCAATACAGGAGTACACTAGTACAGGACACTGTAATAAAATAGTGTCCTATATTGTCATATATAGTATTTGCCATAGACCTATTAACTATAGTTACCCATACGTATTCGTAATTTATTGTATTAGGCGTCATTATAGGTACGTCGGCAGCCAATTTCAATCATCGGTGTGTATTAAAAATTAAAAATCATGTTCCGAATATTCCGTCCAAATATGTTACAGGTGCAAGGTAAGGGATTAATCTTTTAGTTTTGGATAGATAAAAAATAAAAATACAATTCTGTGTTAATAATTCATCATCTAAGTATATTATTATGTTATGTAAGGTATTGTTGTAGATAGGTATGTAGTAGGTACCTAATACCGGTATGACTACCACTGAGTCATCAATATATTATAATTTATAATATTGTTTCGCATTTACACAGTTCTGCATTTACGTGGTAAGAAGGATGCAATTGGAAAACCAGATAAATCCAACCAGCAAAAATCAGATAAATCCAAACAGCAAAAACCAGATAAATCCAAACAGCAAAAACCAGAGTGCGAGTGTATATGTCCTCCAAATCATTACAAAATACTCACTATGGACGATATGCAATTGCCGTATGGTAATTGGAAAGAACAATATCAAAAAAGAAACAATAAATACAATATGATATTCTTGTTTGGTTTGGTTTCATTGATTGGTTCTATTACAATTGTAAGTCAAACTTAAATAATTTATACAAATTCTTATTAAACGGCCATAGGTACTAGTAACAAAGTCAAAACTTAAAAATATAGTTTACTATATATTTTTTATAATCGTTATTGGTTTTGAAAATTTGTATTTATTGATACCATATAATGATAATATTAAGACAAATACATGTAGTATAGACTAATGAGACTAATGAAATACTTACAAACTATTTAGTCACCAGGTCATCTCATAGATATATCATATTATATGTATTACCTACCCATAAATAGAAATGTACAGGGCAAATCCTGCCAAATTGATGCTATTCGCACTGAAACTTAGAGTTTACTGACTTTTGTCATGATTTAAGAATTGTAATTGTTAGCTGGGATCTAAAGAATCTAGTTAGTATTGTATACATATTATTATTAAAAGTACCATGATAAATATATGTATATTTTTTAAAGTTATCGATTAAAAGATCATCTCAACTTAACTATTACAAAAAATGACGCCCAATACAAAAAGAAAATAACATTTAGATGATTTTAGTACCTACTGGAGATTTTATGCAATACACAAAGGCATTCAAATTTCACTAACTTACCTATACTTATATGATCTATATTCTATAAAATACAAAATCTATTGCAGCGTTTTTTCAATATTGGTACCTACTATACTAATAATATTTTTTAGAATTAGAGCAAATACTATTAATGTAGGTAGAGTCTTATAAAATATTAGGTTTGTAAGGTTATCTAAGTGGATTTTTAAAGATATATACAATTTATTGAATTTTAATTTAATTATATTATATAATATATGTATTTTACAATGTGTTCCACATTATTAAGTTAAAAAGTTATCCAATAGGTACTATGATACTATGTCATTTACACTGATATTGTAATTTTGAATCATCAACATATTAATTAATACTTAATTGGTATTTTAATAAAAATACATAACAAATTGCACAATTAATCATATTTAAATAATTTTTTCAGCTAACCAAATCTATGTTTTTTAATGCATTTCCACCTCCTTATCCCTTCGATAAAGAAGATATATTTGAATGCGCTGATGACGATGAAGACTGTGAATTTGAATGTGAATGTGAATGTTAATATGAATATGTTAGTAACTGATATATTTTTTAAATGTCATCTAAATTTATTTTGATTACATATATTAAGATTTGTTTTATGTAAAACATATTGTTATCTACATACCTTAATTACCTACATTAAAAACTATATAACCCTAAACTAACTTTGTTTATATTTAATAATTAATACATTTGTTATACCTACATTAAATTTTAAAATTGTATTGTATTTACAATATTTCCTTCGTACAATACAATTATTAATATTGGATTAAATTCCACTAAATTTGGTACTGGAAATGGGTACACAGTAACAGTATACACTGTACATATATTATTAGATCAAGTATTCTGTTTGAAAAGTATCATTTAATAAAGTTTTATTTAAAGGGGCATAATTACTATAATTTTGCTTTTGTGGTTAATTTAGGGGTATTCATAAAATGTATACCTATGCAGAACAAGAGTACCTAATGAAATATATTAATTGGAATTTTAGTTAATTATTTAAGAAAATCAATTAAATAATTTAATAATTTATAAAAGAAAAGAATATTGTTATTAAGCCGTCTTTCTTAGAGAGGTTGAAGGTTTGGTTCTTTAGCTGATGTATTAGATGAAATGTCAATTTTCCCTAATTTATACATGACTCAATCATATTCAATGTATAGTGTAATTAATATAAAATATTAAACTACAAATTTATTTTTAAAGGAGTTATGAATTTAACAATGTAATTTATTGTGAGTACCTAAATCACAGTAATTACTTTTTTTTCCTCCTAAAAAAATCACTTTTTTATAGGAATCTAAAGGAACCTTAAGGAACCTTTTTCTAGGTAATAAGTAAAATATAGGTTCCTATTTCCTTAATTTTTACTCCGTTTGTTAGCCTAACTCATTGACGTTTAATATTTTTAATTTTTGTTCTTTTGGTTAATTAACCGGATCTACTTAATTATATTTTTGAATTTGTGATTTATCTGCATATGGCATATAAGTATGTCAAAATTATATATGAACTCTGAAAATAGGTTTTTTCTATTCTCTCACCTGCTAAATTGAACCAATCACCCTCCCCCATATCAAACATCTATCGACCCACCTTAGTATATAATTATTACATTTTTATTTTTTGCCAAAAGTGAAAGAAAATAGGTATGGTTATGTCTTACCAATTTTAATTTTGAAATCATATTTAGATCCTGCCTTATATGGAACATATCCGGATATCCCTTTACTCCATTTTATTTTATTTTATCCCCTTTAATACTGGAATTTGCAAATTTTGCAACAATCTTTTTACCTTATGAGTTATGATATGGTGGCAATGAAGCTGTTATGTGTCATTCAGTACCTATTGCATGCCTTGTATAGTTTGAGTTTGAAAAATCTACTTTTTGTTAGTTGGAATTTTTTTTGTAACTAGTTATAGTATAAGTTATAATTTTAAAAACTTTAATTTAAGTACTAAATTATAAGACGTCATAGGTTACTCGGTATTTGTATATACTAGGTATATTAAAACTTACTGGTCCAAGTCAAAACTATCTACTTTGAGCTCTTCGAGCTTCTGTGTCAGCACATTGAAAATATTCAATTAATTGACAATTACATAATATGATGTACAATATTGAATATACTACTTTTTACTCAAGGCCTTTCTGCTCTAGTGCACAGGTTATTAATTATGATGTTATGAAACAACAAACATTATACTTACTTTTGGTAGAAACGCTTGCATACATACATGCACACATACATATACATACTACTACATATTATAAATTACAAACTTACAGGGAAAAATAATAACGCTCTAACGATAAACGATTGCTGCGTAGTCATTGCAGGTGCATCTAAATTGCATATCTAACACGCCGTGACGATAAAAAAATTTTGGGCAATTTATCATAATGTGGAGCTCCAAAAAGCACAGCAGACGATTGATATACAAGGGATGTTGCACGGGCGTAACACAATAGAGCACTTTTTATATTTTAGAAAAAACAACATAATTGCACACAACAAATATTTGTCTTACTTACAGTACTATAATACCTGGCATATAATAAATACATATTGATATAAATATTTATTATGTTCATTGTTATTTCATTATTTTAAGTCCTCAAATATTTGGATGAAAGTTATTTCTTGTGATAAGAAACAAATTATGGTGACGTGCAACAAAGGTGCTTTTAAGTATTCCACTTACAAGTCTTACATTACCTGTACAATACAAGTATTCATTTTCACGTGAATAATGTGGAAATGTACATAATATTATGTAATGTCTGGAAATAAATTGGCCGTATATTATATATTCAATTTTGAAGAATATTATATTATTTTGGTGTCATGGAGATACGCGTTTGGATGTTTATTCATACGTCCGATTACACATTTTGAATCGATTCATATTTCGTGACGAACCATTCCTCGAATTATAGTATTTTTCTTTAACATAAATATATAATAATCAATTTCAGAATTTATTACTTATATCTTATAGTTAAATAATTTTCCTGACCTTGCGTAAGGTATAAAAACTTCGAGGAAGTCAACCTCATAAAAAATAAAAAAATAAAAAGTTGTACAAAACAATACAAGGTTACTACGTCAGTACGATTGAATAGTCCAGCTGTTGGGAGTCTGCAGAATTGCGAGTTCCACACTCATAGCGGATATCCGTCAAAAGACAACGCACACATGGCTGACGACGAAGCATATACGGCGGACGAACCTACGCTGACCATGGGGCCGAAAATTGTCTGTATAACTGAGCTCTGTAACCAACAACCGTTGCCGACGACATCGACATCGTCCGAAGACTTGCAGGTGGAGGCTGTTCAGAGGTCTTTAAATTTACCACCACTATCCCTGTTCCAGAATGACAAACAGTCTGTTGGAAGCTTGCAGGAGTGCGAGTTCCACACCCATAGCGAGTGCAATTATTCATCGAAAGACAACGCATGTAGGTACATGGCACACGACGAAAGATGACGCTACACGGTGGACGACTCTACACTGATCGTAAGGCCAAAAATTGTAGAGATGCGAGTGCTGTAAATTTACCAGGTAAATTTTTACCGGTAAAAAAATTTACCGTTCATTTTACCAATTTCTTTTTACCGGTAAATTATTTTTTACCAAAAAAAATGTTGAGTGGCCCCTCCAATCAAATGAAATCAAAAACGCCTAGTCTGAATTGTAAAGAGATATCTTTTTTCTCAACTGATACTGTGATATTATCATTTGTAATATTGATAATATACTTGTTATTGTTTATATAGTTTGTTATGGACTATAGTATCAATATTCTGCCACCCCTACTATATATTAGAACATTAAATATCAGTAGGTAATTAGGAAATATTTTATAATATAGGCAGATCGCAGATACCAAGGAGCCAGAGAATGTGATATTGATAATATACTATTATTAATACAAAAGTTAATTCTAAATATAAATGTTTTGAGTTGAAAACAAATAAAGGCTATGAGAATTTTGATAGTTTAGTTTAATTTAAATTATTTATTAATAATTGAAATATGAATAATTAAATATTCATATTTCATAAAATGTACTAATTACTAATGGCTAATAGTTAATACAGAACAATAGATATTTTAGATTAATTTTTTTGTTAATTATTGTTATTATTAGAAAGAACTATAGATTTAACAAGTAGGTATACAACATTAGTACCTAATACAAATCGTATTTATTAATAGTAAAAAATAACAACTGCTCTAAGATTTAGCCATTTTACTACTTTTACCACATTATTGGTAAATTTACAGTAAAATTTACCATTCAATTTACCGATATTTTTTTTTACGGAAATTCTCCATCTCTGAAAAATTGTATGTGCTATCAGTGAGTTCCGTGACCAACGACATTTGACTTCGGAGGATTTCAAGGTGTTGGACTAGGTAGCTCACTGAACACTAACTGGTGGCAGCCGTTAAGAAGTTGTTAAATTTACCACCCCTATCTCTGTGTCCAAATGTATAACAGTCGTCATCTGTTTAACTTGACGATGATAGTGTTACATCTTCAGAAATGAAATGGATTATTATACCGAGGGTCATAGACAAGTTGGTAGAGCTTGACGAAGTGTCGTCAGAAATTAGAAATGCAGATTCAAAGTACGGAAAGCACCTTCCACCGTTACCATCGTGTCTAGCGAGTGCACCGGAAATTCAACACATGCCACCAATTACATGACATACTGAAGATTGATTGTATGGCTTCTGTCCATTTGGCCAATAACATGCGGCTTTTAACAACGATGGACAAACAGCAACCATTAGGCGGAGATTGTGAACCGGCCAGCCGGGAGTCCGGATAAAGAGACCAATACTGTTAGAAGAGTTCAAAATATGTGAAAAACTATACTCGGACATAACTGCAGAGGAGGATTCTGAATGTTTTCTAGAACACTTCTCGCCGGTTACACAACATGTTGTAGAGGAAACACAATAACAGCCATGCGATACTTCTGCAATTGAGGTACAAAAAGAGATGCTAACTGATGGCATCGATCTAAAACTAAAGTTTATAATTTATTAAAATTAATTTTTGTTGGAAAACTGTAATCTTATAATTAGAGATGGAGAATTTACGTAAAAAAAATAATGGTAAAAATGGTAAAATAGATAAATCTTAGAGCCAATGTTATTGAAACGAAAACTTCTTTAGGCGCGTTCAGCACTTTTTGTGGATACTGAATTCAGCTGATGTGAAACGCTCAGCTATGTAACGCTCATTCGGGTGAAGTCGGCTCTAGGCGACTATTTTTATACGTGGTTATTCAGTGATTATTATTATTATTATTATTATTATTATTATTATTTGATTTAAGTATATCTCTGTCGAGTTTCGACTTGGGTCCCACTTTTTACCACCAAAAATTCTGTTTCGAGACCCTCTAAATAGTCCCCCAGTAAACGGGGTACTTTTGACCCCCCCCCATTAAATTTTGGTTAGCCAAGCATAACTAATCCGGGGATCGTCGTAGCCGTATTTCGTAAACGGCTATGGGTTGTAGGCGATCACGTGCATAACATATCAAAAATTAATTTATCAATATAGAACGCAAAAAAAATTGTATTTCGTATTATTAAATTCGCCTTGAAGTTTTCACTTCTGTCGTGTGGTCTTAAGCACACATACTTTTTTTTTACTATTAGACATTATTAAATACGATGTGTATTAGGTACTAATGTTGTATACCTACTTGTTAAATCTATAGTTCTTTCTAATAATAACAATAATTAACAAAAAAATTAATCAAAAATATCTATTGTTCTGTAATAACTATTAGACATTAGTAATTAGTACATTTTATAAAATATGAATATTTAATTCTTCATATTACAATTAATAAATAGTTTAAATTAAACTAAACTATTAAAATTCAAATAATCTTTATTTCTTCTAAAGTCAAAACATTTATATTTAGGCTTAACTTTTGTATTAATAATAGTATATTATTAATATCAAATTATCTTCCTTCTTGATATCTGCGATCTGCCTATATGAAATGTTTCCTAATTACCTACAACTGATATTTAATGTTCAAATATATAGTAGGGGTGGCAGAATATTGATACTATAGTCTTTAACAACCTATATAAACAATAACAAGTATGTTATCAATATTACAAATGATAATATCACAGTATCAGTTGATAAAAAAGATATCTCTTTGTAATTGTAATTCAGACTAGGCGTTTTTGATTTCATTTGATTAGAGGGGCCACACGACATGATTTTTGGTAAAATAATTTACCGGTAAAAATTTACCTGGTAAATTTACAGCACTCTTATCTCTAATTATAATGATTATTAATTTTCTCAGATTATTAAATAAACAATGAAGTATAAAATATTTAAATATTAATCATACTTGTAAATTTTTACATCGATACCGTATCCTTATTTTTTTCTGCTTGTTATAAAAATAAAAATGTACATAATAATATTAAGTAATAACACTAATAACTTATTATTTTTATGAGTATTATATTAATTATATGTCGTATTTTAATTTTAATGTTAAAAAATAAGACTAACACGGGAAATACCGGACAAATAGAACCACGACAGATGTATAGGTAAATTGCCTATCCATAACGCCGTGTAATCATAATGATAATAATCAAATAAAAACTAACAGCATTACAGAAAAAGATAAAAGTCACTTTGCCACCATACGTATATACTAAACCTATAATTATAGACTATTACCCTAAGATTTTGATATAGTGACTGTATTCAGTATAGAATGTACATAAGCTTAAAAACTTTGGAATTGGAAACTATTTGTTCAAACTTCGATTTAAATTCATCAATATCTTCAATAAAATCATCTGCTTAAAAATTATTTCTAGTTTAAAAGAGTAGTACTCATTTCAAAAAATTAAAGTCATTAAGTATCTTAAAAGTTCCTAAAATCGTAATTCAAATAAATACATAGTTTCAACTTACAGGTTAAAATGGGGATGAGCGCGCTTGATGCTTCGATGAATCACTCTGTATATGAAGACAGGAAAGCCATTTATGGATGGTTGACACCTATTACACCAGCCACCTTCGATGACTCTCATAGACTAAATTCTTCAAGCTTTCGTAATTTTATCATGGACATCTATAGTATTTTCTCTATAAATTTATTTTGATTACTTATTGTTTTTTCATACACACAGACTAAATTTTTTTTTATTTATTTAATATATTTTTTTTTATTATTATTTTATTACAATAAGGTATTCCTAGCTAGTTGCTATCTATACCTAGAGATGAAGGATAAATAATATATTTGACGCGTTAAGTGCGATAATTAATTATTACAATTTTATGTTAAATGATAATGATAGTTAGAGGTTTAAGTAATTAAGAGTGTTTCTTGAGGAATTAGGTCATGCGGGCGACCACGTTGGAGGCGGCGTTGTGTAGGTGGTCTGATGTTGATGTGGTAGTGCAATGAGCCTGTTGACTTGTGGATGGATTTGAAGAAGCTCGCAACCAAGAACTTGATGTGGTCTTGAAGAGTTTGAATTTTGAGGTCTTTGTGTATGCTTGAGTTCCTTACGAACCATGGAGCGCGTTTGTTATCGTTCTTAAAACTTTGTTTTGAAATATTTGCACTTTATTAAGATGAGTTTGTGCCCATTTACCCCAAATAGAGCAAGCATATGTGATTAATGGACGTAGTATTTGCTTATAAATAAGTAGGGAAAGTTTTTTTTGTAGCGAAGACTTACTGTTTAAGATAGGGAAGAGCATCCCTAGACGTTGATAGGCTTGTTGGAGTTTAGATGAGAGGTGTGGCCAACCAGGTTAATCTTTTGTTCAACGTCACGCCAAGGTACTTGACGGACGGCTTCCATGCGATTGGTTCATTGTTGAAAGTTAGCGGTTGTGGAGTAGGATTACGGCGTAGACTGAATAAAATACTTTCGCTTTTTGATATAGGTTAATTGATATCTTCCAGTTCTTGCACCAGGCAGATAATGTACTTAAGTGGTTTTGAAGATGTACAGATATTGCTTCTGGGTTGCGAGATTCAGAGTAAATGGCGGTATCGTCCGAGAAGGCGGCTATGTTTGTGTGCGGTGACTGCGGCATGTCGGATGTGTAGATGTTAAATAATGTTAGTCCAAGTATTGATCCTTGTGGGATTAGATAAGATTAGTTGGAAAGAAGAAAAAGTTGTCATTTATTTTAACAGAAAATTGCCTGTTAGGTAGAAATGAAGCTATGGAGTCGAGTAGATAATTTGGTGTGTTGATAATTTTGAGCTTGTACAACAACCCATGATGCCAAACCTTATCAAAGGCCTTAGAGATGTCTATGAAAACGGCACCCATGTTACAGTGTTTTTCAAATGAGTTACTTATATGTTCTGTTATACGCATGAGTTGGTGTGTAGTGGAGTGATGTGCTTTGAATCAAAATTGGAATTTTGGAATTGTGTCAGTACAGTTTAGGTAATTTTGCAGCCTAGAAAGAATGACTTTTTAAAAAATCTTAGACAACGATGTTAGTAGACTAATTGGTCTGTAGCTATCAGGGTCTATTTTGTCTTTCCCAGTTTTTTTATGAGGATTATGATTGCTTTTTTCCAGTTATCCGGGAAGTGACCAAGACGAAGAAGCGAGTTAAAGAGGGACATCAAGAACATAGTTGCTTTAATAGGTAGTTTTTTGTACATAAGATTATGTTGTCGTGAATAGGATATTTTTGATTAGGTAATTTATTTAATATAATACTTATCATTTTTATAACAATATTTTTAAACAACAATTTAATTTACAATTTTTTTTTTTACCGTGGAAGTCCATGCAGTTAAAATAATATAACTAATTTTTAAAAAACGTCAAATTTACAAGTATACAACAATGCAGATAATAATATTGAATATTCATTCCTACAAAAATTATTAAGTTTATATACCTAAGATAGACAACTATCTAATTTATTCAATGTTTAAAGTTTAAAACTTTAAGCTATATTTTAGTATTTACCTATACCTACATTAAGTAACATTTTCTACTGCACAATAATAATATATTTTTGAAAAGAAAATGTTTTAACCTTTTTTTATCTACCTTTATACTTTTGTCCAACAAAATATATTCTTCCCCATAAATTCCCGACCATTGGAAATAGTATAGGTACTGAAATTAACCTATGAAATTGGATACCACGTATGTATAAAATTTAAAATCAATATTTTATATTAAATTAAACATTTTTATTAATTTTGTGTTAGATATATAGTCATATATGTAATACAATAAAATTTAAATAAATTATATACTTTCAACTTTGTTTAGGTAGTGTTGATTAATTTTGTTTCATAATGATCACAAAACATAATATACCTATTTCAAGACAATTTGCTATAAATAAATAATAATATGCTAATTTAAAAATAAAAACTGTTTTATTTGACCATGCAGATTCAGGCCAAAGTGAAAAAACCTCACAGTGAAACTACCAATGAAGATGTCGGAAAATATATAAAATATGCACTAGTTTACGTTCCATTTAATAGTATATAAAAAAAACTAATATTTCATAATTATAATAACATATGCGTGCTCACGGGTATGTAAGGTATACCCTTGTTTTAGAGGGCAACAACTAGCTCAGAACACACGATGGGCTCTCAGTTCATAACTTTGACTGGTGGTAAATTATAATATTATAGCGATATCAATATTTTCATATGGATTTGTTTTTTAATTTACTATGAGCGGTTTTCAATAATCAAATGAAATACCTATATGGATTTTATTTTTAGTGTAGGTATTTGCTATTTAGTTTCTTAAAATTATATAATATTTGTATATTTTATTACATGCGCAGAGTGCAGACAAACAGTTCTACAACTATAAACTTCACTACGTATGCCGTTGCCGTATGACCTATAAAGATATGGACCTCTCGTCCAACATACTCCTTGTCTCCTTCAGTAGGTACCTCCATATAGGACCTTTATAAAATAGGACCTTAGTTGTTAGAAAGAGATAGCCATTATATAGCTAATAGTTGGAGATACCCATAATTCATAGGTCTAAAATGCATTGATGCATCATAGACCATTGATATACACGGGCAGCATATAGCAGCATAGAACCAACCTGAGTATAATATATAACCGTGGTTAACACTTAACAGTGATCAATTTATAAAAAATATCTTTACTACACATTAGTAATCAAGTTACTTATCATTATTAGTAGATATAATTCATTTTTTACTATACAAACAATTACAACGTAGTTTATGAGTAGGTATATACTATGTATAATGTAATTATTTGGCTTTAATAATTTAAGGCGACAGCAATAAAAAATATTTATGCGCTTAATCGTATCGTATTTTTTTCAGGTAAAATGGTAAAAAATGTGTAAACGTAGTATTTCACCGATTATTTACTGTCTACGGCTGCCATTTGTATGAACCTCTTCTAACATTATTGTCATAACAATTGGTAGAAATCCACAGTTTGGCGAAGCTATATACAGCCTGCAGCAGTGTATACAAAAAGTATTAAATATAATTGTAACTAGCGGTGATATTAGGTATGTAGTATACCTACTTAAAGTTATAGTATTTTCAATAATTTTTGATAACATCACTGATTATTTTCAGTATGTTGATGTAGGTATATATAACAGGTGGGGAAATGGGTAAATAAATATATATAATATTTTAGTACATTTTATTTGGATATTATTTCTAAATAATTCTTACTTACACACAGATACAATATATCAATATATATATGTACAAACATTTTCGTAAACAAAATTGGTACCTATAGGTATAGTACTATAATATGATGGGAAAGGAGGGGGACGGTTGCAGATCAGATATATTTGCCTAGGGTGGCAGAATATTTTGGGCCGGCCCAGGATTCGTATTTACAATATAATATATATAAATTACAATAATTTACATTCCATACAAAATCAAATGTTCACAATGATAATGATGATATAATAATAATAAAAATAATAATAATAAAGATAATAATAATAACAAATTTCAAGCATCTTATTATACACGATCTGATCAAATAAGATATATTTAATATAATATATTATAAACGCACTATTGTCTATTAAAAAGGATTACAATATAAGGTTCTCGTGTTACTATTATATAATAATATTGTGTGGAATGCGATGAAGCAAAAAAAAAAATAATAATAATAACTATAATTATATACGTGAGATACTATTTTTATGATATAAGTAATAATAAAAAGATTCTTAAAATTAATAAAATTATTTAATTTCATTTAGATAACAATAAAATATTTTCGGTGGTTTTTGGGAAAAGTAAAAATTGCTTATATATAGGAACGCGCATCAAAACTGCAACGGACGGAAGAAGAAACAGTTTTTTATTGGAGGGGGGTTTGCTCAAACACGGAGTCATGTTATGTTCTATACCTGGTTGTATTTATAATATGATTAAGTAACCATCAGAAGTAGTAGGCACTATTGTTTTTGTGACGATAAAACGTATAGTACGCGTTTTGTCTGCAGCAATAGCTAAATATAATACGAATATACGAAAAACACTTTGTGTATAAAAATCAGGATTTAACAGCTTTTGATAAATATTTTGCTATCCGTCTATAATATAATATAATATACGCTGTACAGCTGAAAAATTCCGTTATAGCGTATAACATTAGGTATTTATAACAATATTAAATTTAAATGGAACTTGGAAAATTGTCGACGAAAAACATACGAAACGGTGAAGAAATGCGAATATACGGATGTGTATAATAGTACAGTGCGAGAAGGCGCTAAATCGCATAGTAGTTGTTGTTCCCTATGTTGACGAGCTTAACTAATGGTAACTATGTGAATATTATTAACATAAGTTGCGGGCCGATAGACGCGGAACACTAAATCGTGCTGTATAATAATATAATAATAATTTGATAATTAAGTGTTTTATACATGTGACGAGGAGAGTAAATTGTCCGTCTAGAGATTCTAACATAATACGAACGGATTGAAACTCAATGTGGGCTTCCATCCGATAATTAAACATTAATTAATTAAATATGATTATATCACAGTAAAAATAATTTAAAACATTTTATCCTCTTAAATTATAATATTATTTCTCATAATAATAATTATTATTATTATTTCGGACGTGGTCAACGTGGCGGATGGTTGTTGGCCCCACCACGGTCTTCGTCTCATACAGGATCGCTGTTCCTGCCCACCGAACACATCATCATGGAGTCTTGAGACAGGTCGTCTAGGGACGACGTTTCCGAGGCTGTAACCGTACACGACAATTATTAATACAAATTACGAACACTATTGGAACACTTTTTTATTATAACGGCCCGGTGAGCTCCGCTCTCGGAAATCGTTAGTTTTTGTGTTTACCTGGATTTTGGGGTATATAAATAGGAGATCCCCTCTGGTGCGAATGGTTCGACGACGGAGGCTGTTGAAACGAATACGTGAGGTGTAGATTTATGTGCCGGTTGAAATGATTTTCGGAACCGTTTTGTTGGTGGTGAACTGTAAAACAATAACGACAATGTTTTATAATCTTGGTCAGAAAACGATGTAATATATGTATATCATAATATATATGTGATAACTGAATACCCTAGTATCGCATCGGCGTAACTGGTGAGGGGACAAGGGGGCTTATCCCTCGTACATAGGATTTTATCCCCTCTAAGAAGTTATCAAAAAAAAAAAAAAATGGAATAATAATGATAAGTAAAATATAATATATATTATTATTAATATTTTGGAAGTTTATGAATGATATTATTTATTGTTTATTCTTGTTTTCAAATACAAACAATCGTAATGCCGTATGGGAATATAAAATGAGATTGGTTCTTTTTCCTGTATGAAGAGAATTAAAGAGTAGGTGCATATTAGATGGACCCTGTCACAAAACAGATTCAGTGATCTAGAAAACCAGAAAATATCACAGAAACATATAATATACCAGGGGTGGTCACTTATCTTAATTTTGGGAGCCTTAAATTTATGAAGCTAATTCGAGGCGAGTCACAAATCCCAGACAGCAATTTTTTGTTTATAAATATATTATCATTACAAAATGCTGTCTGGGTTGCTATGAGGTGTTTATAAAATGGACTATCAAATGAAGAAACATTTTTCATTTTATAAGAAATGAAGGAACATTTATTTATTTATTTATAGAAATAACTTAGAGCCACGCGAAACCTACTCATCGATGTGGCCACCCTATAATATACGATTAATGATAAGTTATCATTGGTAATGATATTTTAAAAGTATTCTCTTTTAAATTTAGGCAATTAAACGATTGCTGAGCTTATGCAGAGTAAAAAAATAAATACATATAAGATATTATATTTAATTGTTTACAGTTTTGACTTTTGAGAATTATTTTTAAGTCTCATTTAGAACTTTTATTTTCTAGCACTCTATAGTCCCTGTGGCCACTATTATCCTATGGTTACGTCGGCACACTAATATATGCTATGACGTGATTACAATGGAAATAAACGACGACAGTTATATAAATGATTTTAATAAAAATACGATCCTTATATAAGGTGAATTTTTAGTAGAATATAGTGTCTTTGAATACAGGTACCTATGAATAATGTATAATAAACATTTAAAAATGCTTGGTGTGAAATACTTACGTAATCCGGATGGAGTGTTTTTCACTTTACCAGTGTGCAAGTGCTTTTTTTGTCTCGCCCTAGAATTCTGAAACCACACTTGAGTAACTCTTTTGCTCAGTCCAGTAATTTGGGCTATCCTTTCCAGATCTTGCCCATCGGGATTAGAATCCAATTGGAAATTAGCTTGCAACACCTGCAACTGTTCTTCGGTAAATGTGGTCCGTACTCGTTTTGCTTTATTCTTGCTGTGATAACTTTCCGAATCTCCACCCTCTGCAGAAAAAAAAAACTAACAATATTATTTTTACTTATCATGCATAGATCACCTCTTATTTTACTCTAAAACATGAATATTACACAAGAAAAACTATTTTAATTATTTCGGTTACATTTCTGTTGTCTGTCATACTATGAGTTTAAAAATCAGTATATTATAATTCATGTATTGTGACAATATTACACCACATTATGCTATATAGGTATACTGTATAATATTTAATTATGCAATGCCCAAGTTTTGCAGGTTGTTTGCAGGGACCAAAGCCAGAAGGAGATCACTTCAACCGTCGCCAGTATTTCCCCCATGACTGAAGGATATAATATGTATCGTAAATCGTAATTACAGAGGAGGACTTAACCCTCATGAGCGCGATTCAGCCGGATGTTCTGGGCGCTTTATACAATCATTATATTCAACCTCGGCGACTGCGATTTGAATAACCAACCGCGCGCAAAATTATATGTCTATACAATTTATTTAATAAAGCAGACACGCACGCGATGATGAATTTGCTGATATTGAAATGTCAACCAACACGTCATGTCGATATAATATACATTATGTGACCTACACGTTTTTACCTATTGACTATTAAAATGTATTATCTCAATATAGGCATATATATATGGTATGAATTGTAAAATTATATAGTTTTTCCCGGCTTAAATATTTAAAGCGGACTTGAAGAGTAGTAATAATCGGCTTTCGTTGTGACGTGCATTCCAGTGAATTTATTAAAAAGCCGTACCTACATAATATGATCGTATTATACGTATAGTACCTATATATAAGTTATAGAATATAGACAGGTAAATATAATTTAAACTAAACGAGAAGAACGGCTATATTTCACCACCTATACGAATCCGATAACGCCGCTTTAAAGCCGATTGAGACGGCAATAAATTATATCTCAGGTTTCTATCACGTGAATTCTTGTGTTTTACTGCACTCGTTAAAGGAGCTGTGTTGTCGAGTATGGCAGACGAGTTTCGAGGAATCGTCCGCAATACCGATATCTGCAGCGAGAAAATCGATCGAATTCGTTAACATAATATTATAATATTATAGATTGAGACAGAGGGTGACCGATCTGGCAGTCTGACTTCGTATATACCAACTACAAGCTTTACAATTTAAACATATTAGAGCACAGTTAGATTTTTAAAATATTTACACGAAAATAGTCCTGCATGTTCAACTGAAACAAAAATCTCGATAATAATTATTATAGAAATTAAGAAAAACAACAATAATAACAAAATAATATGTTATAAATCATAAAAAACGATATAATAGCAGGTAGCAGGTCATTACCAAGTATATATACGTAAGTGCGTTATTTTCGTCCAATATGCTGCAGCAATATGATTATTATTTATTAATAAAAAATATAGATACAAATAGTAGTGACTATTGTCTATTTGCAATCTAAACTCATTTTCTCGAAAAATATATTTTTTAATTTTATTCATTTTCCAAAACTGAATATTGTTTTGAGAAATCTAGTAGGATATAAATATCAAATTTCAAATAAGTAAGTGATCAGTATTCTAAGTTTTGATGAATAGGCTGGAGATGGAATGCTTGGGTACTATAATAGTAATATGTATAATATTATATGTTGGCCTGCAATACTTTTCCTCTCGTATAAACTTCAAATACTATAATGACTAAATACACATATTAATTTACTAGTTTAAATGTGATTTTATACAGATAGTTTTGAAGTTCTCAGTAAAATATTTTGCTTAGTAAAATTGTAAAATATTGTCGACATCCAAAAAAAGCAATGAAATATAAAAAATTAAAAATATGTTTTTTTGTTTTGTAATGAATTTAAACTATTTAAAAAATATATAGGTAACTTCTGAAAACGCTGGCATTTTCCCCGAAAATTAGTGGTTTACTTTCAGTAGAATCACCAGGTATGTACCTACGACCATCCTATATATATAATTAGACGTGCCGGGAACGTCTACATACGTACGTATGACGTGACACGAACACTAACTGCATCCTGCATACTACATAATTATTGTATTGCATTATTGTGCACCCTGCAGCGAGAGTGATATAACATACTATACTTGCAGACGATCGTCATTCGCAAATGTATAAACACGTTTACTATTATCGTGATTTCGGCGACGGCGGTACATATTATACGCGGCGATGCACGTGTACGATATTTCTATACAGATCTTTTAGTGATTTCAGTATATATATATTTTATAGAAAGACGGAGGCGGCGTCGGTGCGAATTGAATCAGAAAAACGCCGTGTATAGACGATATTATATATATATTCTTTCGCAAAGGCGGCGATGACATCATATATGTTGTGGGCTGCCGAGGCCAGAGCAAACCCACGGGGTGGTGTTTTTCCTCCCGTACGGCCTTATGCACACACATTATATATATATTTTTTTTTTTTATCGTCGGAACTATATAATATTTGATTATCGCGGGTAAATTCGATTTGGCGCGGCGATTTCACGGTTGACGGATAAACAATGGGACCACCCCATCCGCTCACGAACCCTTAACGCGCGCGCGCGCACACACACACATATATAAGACTACGAGATTGACCTAATTAAATGCACATTCGGGGTCACCGAAGGGTAGAACGGACACGGCGTCACCAATAAGACGTGTATAGTTAATTGGACCGAATCAGAGCGAAATCAAAGGGCAAATAAGGCGAGTTCAAATGTATAATATGTTTCATGTATATTATGAGTTTATGAAGTTATAGTGGCAACGGTGATAATGTATTTAGTCATTTTAGTGAATTACTATATCATAGCATTATAGCCAATAACGCGAAAATGACTATTTTCCCAAGTAAATATAACGACATTTCCTACGGTAATTTCAAATTATATCTAACAGTCTTAGTCCACGATGAAATATTCGTATTTCATATTAAGCTATTATGTATCATACCTATAATAATAGTCATTATCATGAATGTCCACGAATGTAAATACTTTCTAGCAAATAAAAATAATAATCATTGCCTATAAGTTATTACAGTGTGAAAGTGAAACCAATATTATGGTGCAATAGTTTGTATTCTAATTTCAATAAAAAAGACATATTTTTACATTAAAAAAATTGTATAAAAATTATTATTATATTTTATATTTTATTATCTACACAGCAATAATAGTATTATATCATAAAAACAAATGTTTGTATAAAATAATATACAATTTAAATATTATCAAATATTATAATGGGGTTTTTTCTCTAAAATCCATTATAATATACCTAGGTACTTAAAACTAAACCACTGCATAACTATATTATAATATTAAAACTGTTATGCACGTAGTCGCAGCTAAAAATGATCTAAATAGTGATAACTTTATATAATCTAAACTTCCAAGTCCCAAACCTACGTATAAAATATATAATAATAATTCACATAGGTTATGACGACGGTTAACCATCGTCCGCCATAATTTATTTCGTAATACATGATCAGAAAATAGTAAATATCGACAATGCCAATAGTATATATATATTTTTGTGAAAATAAATAGTGGAAGAAACCAGTATTGACCGGAATAAGGACCTATATAGTATACATATATAGTCATATAGATTATGTGTAAAAACAAAAAAAATAAAATATAAATATTTCAAACGGATTACGATTCCAAAGAAACATGAATCAATAAAAACACAGTTTCAGCAATAGGTATCTATGTGATTCCAATATATACATAGGGTATTTTTCCACGATAATACGGTTCTAAGCAGATAATTTTCCAAATGCGTCCCCACTGTTATTACACATTATATATAGGTATGATGAATGAGAAATATATTGTTTTTGAAATCTAAGTACCTATCGTATTTCGAGTTTTAAGTTCAAAAAACCCTATGCAGAGAAGGCTCCTGAGAGGTGCAATTGCTTATACTTAATAATTTTATATTGTCGCAAATTTTTTTTACATGGTATACCAGCTATATAATTTCCTATTTAATACACTCAAATAGACTCAATTTAAGTGACCTAGATCCAATATTGAAAACGGGATGTTAATACAGTACCTATAATTATTAGTGTCTGCGGGTGAAAATTGTAGCCTTTGACAGAATCTGCCTTTAATTATGTATAAATACGTCGTACAAAATCATTATCTGCATACAGAGCAGTCCGGTTTCGTATTATTTCTATATGCGTAATATTGTATGGAAATCGATTTGGATTCTGAATAAGGCATTTACGATTTACTACGAACTCGATTTCAAGCTCCACTACAGAGGACTTGGTCGTATTATTATGGGTAGTATATAATTAATATGAGGGTATATTACCTATGTTATTATGAGACGGCCTGATCGATACAAAACGGTGGAAAAATCACCGACAAGCATAATATCCAGTGAAAACAATAACACAACAATAATAATAATAATAATATAATATAGGTGTACCTGACGAGCTTGTAGTGCCGCCGTCTACGATGTCCAAATAATGAGGTTTGCACAGAACACGACCTTCGTGCAGAGCAAACTCTTCACCCGTGTTCAATTGTCGGTCGCAGGCGTCGCACCGGAAACACGCCAAATGGTAAACGTGGTCCCTGGCCTTTCGCACCCAATGCGAAGCGGAAATGCCTTTCGAACACTTTGAACACACCGTACCGAAACTCCTGTAACACAAACATGGACAAATTAAAACCAATTGCACTCTATACGGGGTACCCATATAAATAATATGACCAGAGGTGTAAAAATTACATAATAATATCATATTATCGTTTGCGCCAAAATATGTCAAATATAATATTATAATATACAAGTACCTATATATAGACCGCTATGACCCAACTCGGACAAGGTACAAATTTTATCGCAACCCTTGAAATTTTCACCCCAGCACGCACAACCGCGTCGACGTAGGTACATATAGTTTCCCGCAGAACACATATTATTATAATATTATATATATAATATACGAGTAATCATTAATCGCATAAATCGACGTCCGGTCATGGCCGACGCCGTGGACGTGCAGTGCTCTGAACCGTATACGTACATAATATTATATACACACAATACGCGCCAATATATTAAACACACATACCCACACACACATATATATATACATAATTTGACGTTTCCGCGTCAACTCCATCGGTGTAGTTAATTGCACAAAGGCCATAATCCGGTCGTTATATACACACGCGTACCTATAATATATTATTCAACGTCAATTTTACCCGTTTAGCCGAACAAACATTTCGCAAATGTCATAAAGGCCGGCGGCCCGGGTGTGAATGTCGAACGCGTCGTATAATAATGGTATATAATTATGATAGCAGTACGCGAAACGGCCGTCGGGTTGTGGATTTCTAGATCGAATAATATTATATTATTATAATATGAGCTCAACATAGTACATCATCATATATTTACGTGCGTGGTGCATCCGTATGCGGTGATATAACATATTATTATATAGGTACCTGGTACATGGCATTATAGTATACCTACGGATGGTCGTTTCAACAGACCTAACGAAAACGCCACGTACATGCAAATAATTATTCAAATAAACGTCCGAAATAAAAAAAAATTTCTTGTACAAATTAATATGTATATTATAATAATGCCTCCCGTGTGATATAAGATATTTGTCTAGGACAAATTTATGGGCCAATATCATGGGCGTGTTCTATCTCCAAATAAAAACATCTCATTAAATAACAACTATCGAAAACGATGTCTGTGATAAAAGTAGGCATTTAATTTAAAACCAAGATATTCTAAAGGCAGGTATACGCGCATTAACACTCAATATCGTGTCATAAACAGCGTTTACTATAGATTTTTAAATAATATATTATTGTCAATCGATCATATAGTTTTTAAACTATAATATTATTATTATTATGTCTTGTATAAAATATGTTATTTTAACTATTCCGAATCGTATTCGACAAAAATGTTATCCTTGGTGTATACCATTGGGCGTGACCGGAAGAGGTGAGTGGCAATACGTTATGTATATAGGATTGCGATGAAAAAAAAAACCAAACTTAAATAGCTTAAAAAAACAAGTTGTAATTTTTGTCACTGTTTTTAAAATATTTTTCCTATTAAAGAATAGCATAATATAGTATTATATTAATAGTTTTTATTACAGTTATAAATATATGCAAAAATATTAAGTCATGAGTTGTATATTATATATAATAATAATATATACGACTATATAAAATACTAGGACCATCGTGGCTCGTGTTGATATAATATATTATACTCGAATTAAATATGATTAATATAAATTCTGAATTTGGGTGAAATGGTAAATTCAAAACCGCCATTGGTGTTTAAAAATTATATATAGATATTTTTTCACACAAAATATTTAGTTATGGTTCTTTATATACACTATGTTAGGTTTTTAAACATTTTTATCGGGGAAATTAAAATCTGCTATGGCGCGATGTAGCTTAGTGGTTGCATCTAGTCATGAAACGTGTTCTGAGTTATGCAACATCAACCGGTGTCACTATAGTTTCCAGATAGGTAACCACCCAAATTTTTAGTGACTTATCCTTGCCACAGACATACACACGTTTTCCAATCCAATCGTCCCACCATTCAAACATCTAATGATGGTCATAGTTTCCGGGATCAATAATAAAAAAATTAAAAAATTAAAATATAATATATATAATATATTACTTATTAGCTATTACAATATGCAGTACAATAGTCAGTACAATGACACGTATAGGTAGTCTCGACAAAAATAAACAGAAGCGATATAGTCGTAGTAAAACGCCTATATATATATATTAGCATATAGACAAAGAAGAAATCTTTTTGAGTAAAGTTTGAAGAAAAAATAAGAGTTTTATTTTTTTTTTTGCTAACGGGGAATGTTTATATTGTCGTCGTATTATGCAAATAACGGAAGGAAACAAACCTTGCGATTGCAACAGAGAAAAAAAACGAGAGAGGGAGACACAGGGACACAGAGACGGAGAGAGAAACAGACATACCGAGTTAGAGAGTGAGGTAGACAGAGTGAGAGAGAATTCGGTACGGGTGGAAAAAAGACCGGGCGTGTATATGAGGGTATAGAACCGTGGTAGGAAAGTTTCATCCGGTTGAGCGCGTGTGCGGGCGTGCAAAGGCGGTTAATCCAATTGGCCGTCCAATCAGCTCCGGCAAAGACTACCCCCCGACTTGGTCGATCTCCGTCCGCCCCTCCAACCACCAGCTCGACGAAAACCGCCCGAGCTGCAATAGGGATAAATAATTTAAGACTCGACACAAAAACGCACGGGGTGACGTTCGTCTGTATAATAAATGTGCTTGATGTAAACTTGTATGAAATCCGGCGGATCACAATATATTTTTTTGACACAATTATACTTAATAATATAAACGTTACGATTCACATAATATACACATTATGGGAGGTAGGTACTTGCGGCACACACTTCAGTCTAGATTTTCCAAAACTATATAACTTAGAATTATTTAAGTTATATAAAGGTACTAATAGCTGAATATCCTGCAGCAGGCTTCGCCCGTGTGCAGTTTTTCTCTTGGAAATTCTTGTATAATATCCAATAAGCTACATAGGTAGGTTAGGTGTACCTATATCTTTGTAAAATAATTTGACTTATAGATGGGCAACCGCAAGTCGCGGGTTGGATTTAGCACTTGGTATATTTTTAATGTGGTTTAAACTACCTTTTCTGATACCTCTAAAACCAATCAATGATATTTTCACCAATTGAGTAGTTTTTGACTTTATAAGCTACACATAATATATACATCATGCACTTGGTTTCGAGACGTAGTTTCTTTAATCGAGGCCATTTAAATGCGACGATGTATGCATGTTTGTACCTGATCTAACCAATGGCAACCATTTATAAGTATACAAAAAAAAAGTTTTGATTTCCACCCTGAATCTCAAAATCCTTGTTTGAGGACCTCTTTAAAATGCGAATCTCGAAAAACCCTTTCTCATTGCACGTCTATAGATCATTAAAGAAACAACCTTATTCCAAATTTCAAGTTTCTTACGTTTTGTAGTTGTTGAGATGTAGCGATGGTATGTGGCTTTTTGTATAATATATGCAGACTGCAGACGAACTAGGTCATCTCGTTAAGTCGCCGGATAATATTGATCGAGAAGAGCAATAAATTCCTTGCTCATTGAGATCGAAAAATTGTATCATCCCCCCCGTTCATTGTTCTGCCTAAACTTCACTGACTCCCATACGGTGTATTCTTTATTATTTAAGCAAGTTAAGTAATAACAAACTATATACATATACCAAGCCACCGATTTCAATTTCAAACCTTAGTACACTTCCCGAATCGCTGAAACCAGCTGAGTATACATAATCAGAGAATTAATAAAATAAAATTAATATGTAGAATAATCAGATTAACCGATAAACATTGATTTATTTAACTTTCAATCGTTGGTATACTCAGTCGTGCAGAAAAATTCGAAATTTATTTATTTTTAAGAACATTTTTACTAGTTTTTAATAACGTAATATTAAAATTTAAAAAAAAATTAAATGTCAATATTAAGTAGATACTTTACTCATCTTAACACTTTACTTAAAATGTAATACATCGTATTCCCGAGTGCTGAGTCATTAATTTTTATGATTAACAGTAAACTGATCAACATATATACCTACTGAACACGATGATAAACATAAATGTCAAAAGTTATTTTATTATCGATTAATAAAGTGTATTTAAAAACGATCGGTATTTTATTATCATATTACTGTCTACTAAATCTAGTATTATTTATGTACCTACCAGTGTATAATATGAATAAATACAATTTATAGCTGAAGTGGAAAAATGTTTTTCTTAATTAAAAATTAAAACACAAAATTATTCTTTTACTTAAAATTAATAAAAGAAAAAAAATTACTTAAGATTAACGAAACGAATACGAAATTCGAATTGAAAATCACATACCTACTTGTTTCTGAACCATATACTATTCAGTATTCACTTGCATACTAGGGTCGTACAAAAATATTCGAAATGCTATATATTATACTGCAATCCTGGCATATGCTTAAATTTAGAGTTATAGTTGTTTATAGAATAAAGTTCAAGTTAAATGCGATTTGTCTCAACCATTTGAGTAAGAAATTACCACCCAGAGTCCAATAGAAATAAGTATCTAAGCGTAACTTGTCACTCAGTAATGTTTTTCAATGATTTATCATTGAATTGAAATCTAACACATCCATATAACATTGACCTACTAGTTTTTTTTTTTAATATTTTGTTTTTTGTCAAAATGTTTCTATTCATATATTTTTTGAGTAAATAAACAAATCAGAAAATTATATCCTATATATTTTAATATTTTTAAAATTTAACCTTTAGATTTTATTAAACGTATAAGTAAAAAAAAAAAAAATGATTATAATATAAGGCACATTACACACTGCACTTCAGCAAACCATTATTTGGTACATTAGCTGCGATTAGATAATGGTTTTTCCTTTTTAGGGTTTCTAATGAACAAATAAATAAATGTCAATAGGTTTTTTTTTTAATAATTGTCAATTTAACTATACCTACGTATTGGTTATTCTAATAAAACTAACTCTAATAGTTGTAAAATCTAAAAAAAAAATGT